GAGGCAAACCATTGATTAGGGACACTTGTCTTGATACATTATAGTCAACCTAGCCAAGAACATGGTTCTAAACACCTTGCCGACCAGCCAGCAAGGCTTTGGTTCTCATGCCGCGTGTAGCGAGGGAGGACGCGAAGACTGGAAGATTACAAGAACCAAGGCCGCGGCAGAGGAAGATTCGGGAAGATTGCGTGTAGAGAACTTTTGAGTATAGTGAGGAACAGCCAGAGCTACGCGGCAACGTCCAATTTGATAAGGAACGATAGTGAGAAACAAAAAGATGACGATCAGAAGGTTACGGCTAGTTTTTCACTCGTCGCCATATCTTGCATTTCTGGTAGCGGCCTTGCTCTTTTGAAGTTGGCTCCGGGCAAGGACTTTCTGAAGTTGGCCTCCTCCAAGAACGGCCTCATCTACCCCGTGGAGGAAGAGCGGCGCACCCTTGGCCAGGACCGGGATGCGACCTTGGGAACTCGGATGCGAATTCGCTTGGTTCTTTCCTTCGGGCGTGAAAGCCACAAGCTGTAAATGTTTTAGGACATGTTTTAGAACCCCATGCATTCAGATGGAAATGCATTCACGCGCTCTTGTTGGTCAGTGAGCAAAGCCAACTGGATGAGGTGCGCGCATATCCGTGGGGTTTGAGGTGCGCGCATTGAGCAGTGTTTGCGGCAGTGTGCCAACTGCTCTTGCACCTGGCTGCTTCGTGACCCACACTCCCCTCCGACCACGGGTTTAAAGCTAGCACCCCGCACTCAGAGCTTGAACTACTGGAAGGGGATGCTGGCCCCTCAACTTCTTCTCGCACACCCAAAGCTTCCGCCATCCTGGCGAGTTCGGTTCGGTCTTGTCCGGTCTTGTCCGGTCTTGTCAAGCTTTGCGGGCTTGACTTCCTTCGAGGTCGCTCGGCCGGGTTTCTTCTCTCGCCACTAGCGAGCCAGGCTGGCCGCGTCCACTCTGTCGTGGCTTGCGCAGGCTACACCTTTTTTCGCATCCTTGACTCTTCCCGCTTGTCGCCTTGTCGCTTGTCACCCTTGATCTTGAAAAGGTGTAGCCCATCCACTGCATGACCGAGGTCCGCTTACGAGCTTGAGGGGCGGAGCAGCTGTCCCTCCAAAACCTAAAAGTCCACCGCAGCACAAGAGCGACACCAGGTGGAAGATCGGACTTCGCGGCTGGTGGTGAATCCAGGGAGATCTACCTGCACGGCAAGGCTGGGCCCAGCGGCGAAGGGCTCTTCGGCAGCCTCGAGTTTCGGGCTCTGCGACTTCAGGTGGAAGTGGAACTGGAACGGAATCTGTTCCAGCGGAGCCCAAAAGCATGTCTGGGACTTCACGGTCCCCGGACGGGTGATGCGGACCTTGAAGAGAAGGTTCATCTGGATGCTTGAACCATAGCAACCTCCACCACGAGGAGCAACCCCCTCGTGGAATCTCAGAGATCGGCTGTTTTAGAGAGCAAAGTGCCTCTACGTAGAGAAGAAGTGTGCTGCTTGATGTGTGTGAAAGCGCCAAACCGTATTCTGATCCAAGGCAACCAGTACGATCCACTTCCCCGACATTCTGGTTGCCTAGCAGTCTGTGAGCTTTGAGTCATTTCAGCACTTGCCCCGTTGCAGCCCGCAGGACAAGTCTATCGACAAGTACCTCAAAGAGTAACGGGCCTGTTCCCCAGGGCACGGTGCTCACTGTTGATTTCACATGTTCAATGTTGTACATTATGCCTTCAATTGTTGTTTGTGCATAATGTGTACGCGGGGGCTTGTGGGTCTGAGTGTGGGTATGTGTGGGTATATGTGCGTATGCGCATGGTCTCTTTTCTCAGATGGCTTGTAGCTTCGCACTGCTGCTCCAATTGAATGTCGCCGGCAGGCAATGTAAGGGTGGGGCAACTTGGGCTTTTTTAGCTTGTTTTTGTTGGAAGAGCGGAAGTCCACAGAGGCAAACATAGCGCTGCGGAAGCTACGTATAGTTTGAAGATTTGCTGGAGACTCTGTGTGCTTTATATTTAAGTGCCCTTTTGTTCAATTTTCTCACGATGGGTCCGTGAGCCCATTCCAAGCCCAATATTGCTGGCTATCATGAAAGTTTCGAAATCTGGACAGGGCATCTGTGGAAGCTCTGCGTAAACCGTGCAGAAGCTGTGGCTTCCAGTCGCGACCCATGGGGCATTGCAGCAGTGTTGCCTTCTTCCTTGCTTACTTATCTTACTTGCTTACTCACATACCAACAAGTTTTGACTTGCGAGACGGGACTGCCAACTGGAGGCTCTGAAGTGAGAATTGTGATCGAGCTGGAGCCTTGCCAAAAAGTACTTTGCATACCACGCTCGTACTGACATTTTGTGATGTGCCAGCTGCTTGTTGCCAGCCACGAGTGCCCCACAAGCTAAATGTGCTCTGAAAAGTTGTGCTTACAGGAGCTGCCATAGTGGGCTACGCGCGCCGCACTTGAAGATTGTGATGCACAAGGGGTTCACAGATGGTTGGGGAGAGCGTTTCCAATTTCAGGGCCGGAGAAGGCAAACCAAATCACGCACCACACCAAGGCAGAAGTTGTCAGCCGGGTCGGAAGCAACAAACGCGGGTATGGCGTAATTACGCGCACACACAAACACACCCCCAGGCCCACGCACGCCTTCGGGTCAACACAAATACGCCCATGCCCAACTGAACACCAGCAAGTTTTCAAAGCAATGCTAACGTCAAATTCATAATTAACAAACCCTTCCTCCCCCCCCCCCAGAAGCTCCTGAGATTAAACGGGTTCCGCGGGAGAAGGTGGTTTGCAGGAGAAGGAGTTGTAGGTGGCCGCTCTGCAGGATTGAGGGCGAATCCAGAAGTTAAATGAAGTTTTGCGCGGGCCGGAGTTGAATTCAATTGATTGAGTTGTTGTCGGAGGCCCTCGTCAGAGTGTACAATTCTTTAGCATTGGACCCCAAAAGCGCATTTTAGTAGTCGGTGGTATTTATTAGTCCTTTGTTAGCATTATGGAACACATGTCACAGTTGAAAGAGTCCGCATGGTTTCGACCAGCCGGTTTGCCACCTGAGGCGTTGCAGACACTGTGTGCTCCATCGTGGTTTCACCTCGTGGGCAGTCGACGCAGTGGCGAGGTCGTGTGGCGGCGGGCACAGTGATGCTTGACCATTTATGCTCCTGTTTGGTTCATGTTAAATGGAAGTCAACATGTTGTGAACCGAATCATTTGGAGGCTTCCTTACTTTTGACATCCCGAAGAATGTGTCATAATGTTTACCCCTGTTTACTAATCCTTTTTTGAAGGTCAAGAACGCCAGAGAGAAAACAACCGATTGGTTCCGGCCCTCTCTGGGGGGGGAGGGGTGCCCTTTCTGAGCTTGTCAAACCTTGAGATCTTAAACCAAATGTACAACGATATGTGCTGTTTCCAATTAGCTGTTTATCTCGGCTTTGGGAAAAGCAGCCGTAACAACAGGACGGGCCGTCGAGAATGCCACGGCCAGGGTTAGGCCTTGGGCCGCGGGTTCTATGGGTTCTGAGCACAAGATCGCTGCACGACCAGTTTTCGCTGCAGGGTTGTCCAGAATGCATTTAGGCCTGTCGAGTTTTTCAATTGAAGGGTAGAAAGGCCATAGGGCCTCACTGCAGAGCATTCTTTTACCATGGTCAGAGCATCTTGGTACGCAGTTGACGCGCGCCGAGCAGACTGTGAGTTGGTGGCTGAAAACGTATGTCGCGCCTCGCATCGGAAAAGAGGCTCAAAGAGAGAGACGGCCAGGGCTGCTGCTGGTGCTGCTGCTGCTTCCACTGCTGCTGTTTTGGGGGAGAACTCTGCATGTTGAACACTGCCTACTTTTAACCAACCGTCAGCTGCAGTGTTGCCTGCGTGTCTTTGCCTTTGCCATTGTCTATGGCAGCAAGCGTGGCTAGGATGCAGAGCCAACCCCTCGGACTACCTACGTAGTCCCCGCAATCCGTGCGCTTTAGGAATAGGATTTCAAACGTTGGCGCTGCGTTTTACAAAGCATTTTGCGGGGGTCGCTGCAGTTGAGGAACGGATTTTCCAACAGATAAGAGGTTGGCCGTGTGTTCCAGGAAGTGTCACAATCATTGGTTTGCATTCCAGCAAGGAGTGTTTTGTGGAACTAGACTGGAGCTGCAGAAGTGTACTTCGTTTACTACACACGTACTGAAAAGTTGTAGTTTCGAGTTCGCGCCACGCTTGTGCTTTCGAGCTGAGGCTGCGGAAGTGCGCTCCGTATACTGCACTTATACTGAACGTTGCGACTCCAGCGAAAGTGTACTTCGCGGTGCAAGGTGGGGGCCCTAAGTTAGAAATGACTTACGACACTTGCACTTTAGTAGTGACGCTTATAATGATAAGTAACTTCAGATTCAGATGAACTTATCTTGAAACCTTTCACAAGTAAGTCATATCTTGTTTAACTTGTTTTGGCAGGTTTCTACTGGGGATTTCGTCAGAGCATGTTTCGCGCAAAACCACGCGGACCGGGCAGTTCAGGTCCATGTTCCATCGAAACTGAACAGCCTATGTGGAAATTTCAGCGAGCAGACATAGCGGACGCCGTTGATGCTGACCCAAGCAGGATTTACCAGAAAGGGAATCTTCGACCAGTTGACTGACCAACTGCTGGGAGCTGGCCAACTGAATCACACGCTGGCAAAGCCTGCGTGCAGGAGACTGAGGTTACTGAGGCGTATAACTGCGGGCCCCGCGCGGCATTGTGAACAAGGGCACGGACCCTCGTCGAGCGAAAGGCTTGAGGCAGTCAAAAGAGACGCGACCCTCCTAACACATCGAGCAGCACCGGCCCACCGACAGCATGACTAGAGCAGCCTCCGAAGGGGGAAACAATGCTTTTACAGGGGGGGCCCGAAGACTTGGTGCGTGAGAAGATTTCTCTCCATCTACAAATCTATCCATCCATCCACCTATCTATCTATCTGTCCATCTTATCTCTCCAAGTCCATGCCTCTTTATCGGCCTTGACCTTGCGAAAGTCCTGCCCCTGCCACGCCCTTGCAAAAGTGCCGCGCTGCCACATTTTCTGCACTTGACCACGCCTGCCACGAAATCTGTACTTGACCTTGCGAATTTGTTGCGCCTACCACGAAACCGTGACTGGTCATTAAGGACATGCTTTGTCTGCCTTTTTAGGGTGTGGCCCTACCTCTGCCGATAATTCAAGATGGTCTCGCAAAGTTAGCCAATTTTATTGATCTGCGTGTCCGCAGTCCTGCCCGTTTGCCATGGACCTCTGCGGGCTTGATGCTGATGAGCTCTAGCAGTGCGTATCGTTGGTAAGATGTATGATGATATTGTTTTTAGACAAGGCTTTTGCGCCCTGTGGATCACCATGGACCAAACTGAAGGAAGAGCTGCGACGTTTCTTTTGGTCATTGCTGCTGCTGGTATGGAGCGTGTTCTGACATTGCAAGAACGCTTGCCTTGCAGGGAAGGTGCGGATGTGAGCAGGCTGCCTCGCGCGCAGCATGCGTCGACTCCACGAGACCGCCGGAAGCGCAAGAGTGTTGGCGAACTTAGACCGTTCTGGCGTTGGTGGGTGGGATATCCAAGATTGATACGACGGAAATGCGATTGAAGATGCTGCTGGACCATGCTTGCTTGACTTTTCTTGAACTCGTGAGAAAGTGAGCCAAACCCAAATTTTGAATGCCGTCGCTTGCATCTAGCAGAACTGCGGAGACGCAGTTTTTTCAGCTGAGAACCTCGGCATTGCTTGACTTTGCTTGGAAAATATTTTGGCAACCTGCAAGTTTGCCAAGAACGCAATTTGCTTGTAGCCCTCTCAGAATTCAATCGTGTGTTTGTTTCGCGCACGTATGCCCGCAGCTTTGCGCCGCTCATTGAACTTGGCTCGCCTATTCGGAGCTAGCTTCGTCACCGAGGCTGGTTAGTCAATCATGGTTTCTGAGGAGTCGCCCCACCCAGGCATCGTAATGAAGGCGTGCGTTGAGGCACTGGTGGCCGAGTTCGATCGAATCTAGGGCAGGTAAAAGGACAACCTATGTGCCATTGCCACATGCCCTAATCACACACTCATGGCAGTCTGCAGCGCAATGAGCGCGGTGTGCAAGGACAACCGGGCGGGCTCCAAAATCCTCAGCAAGTGTCACGCCACACGCAGCCAAATCACACAAAGCATCCTCCACAATAAAGCAGTGGCCGACATACGCTACAAGGATGGGCTGCGGGTGTTCGACGAATTGCGATGATGCAGCCAATGAGAAAGAAGTTGCGCAACTTTGGCCTTGCCCGCGCGCACTCCCTGCAGCGCCAGTTGTTTGACGCAGGCGTGAAACTGCATGACTGGCGCGATTCTGTCAGGGACCGCAATGCCGAATTCCCGCATATGGCCGCCCCCCTTGCCCCGCACTGCGGAAACGCAGTCTTTCCCTGTGACCTGGCAGCAGTTTTGAGATTGGCTTTGAAGAAAAGAAGTACGCTCGGAGCTTTGGCTGCAGGTTTGCAAGCCGGGCAGTGAAACACTTGGCTTACGGGAAGGAATGCTCGTGCGTGTGTGCCGGCGCGCTTGCCACGTGGGAAGCTGAAAGGCGGCAAGCGCGTGTGTGTGTGTGTGTGTGTGTCGGTGTGTGTGTGTGTAGGTGTGTGTGTCGCGCATTCATGCACGTACG